AAAAAAAAATCTAATTCACATTAGAATAATTGGTCAAAGTTAATTAAAAATAATTAATTATCTTAATTAAGCCTTAATTAACTTAATAATGCTAGGTCAAAGGGGGTGATTTTTTACTTTAGCGGTTTTGGCAAAAACAAAAATGGGGTTGGATAGATCTAGCAAACAGTTCACATTAAATAGTTCGGATTAGATTATTTCATATTTTAAATTTATTAGGTAGGGTTATTTTAAATTTTGGGTTAAAGACTTAAACTACTAACTCACCTACGAAAGTTTTCAATTGGATCTAATAAATCTAATTTTTTTAAAAGTTAAAATTAAAATTAAAAATTTTTCTTATTTTCTCTATTTTATAAAAAAAATTAATATTAAATAATTATTTAGTAAAAAAATTTTGTTAAATTAATATTAATACTAATAATTTAATAAATAATAATTATTTTATAGTATTTAATTTTACCTTATATTTAAAAATTAAAATTAAAAGCATAATTAATCAAATTTTAAAATTAAAAAAATTAATTAATTTTAATCAAGTATTAACCTGATCCAACCTAATTGAATCCAAGTAAATTTTGTTCTTAAATTATATCAAATTTTAAATTGATATTTTACCCATAAGGCCATAATCGGTGGGTTAGATTCAATTTTTGAATTGAGTTTAACTTTGCCATGTAAAGTCTAAAACTAGACTTTGTAAAGCACTATTTGTCTTTTTTATTAAATTTATCATGTATTTATTATCATAAATTATGACATTTTTAATGTAAAACATCCTAATTTTTCTTTTTCTCGTAAAAGTATACATTCACTTATTAATATCCCGAAAATATTGTATAAAAAATTATAAAAAAAAGTTATACGCATATAATTATTACCTTTCTTTTTTTTTCAAAGATTTTAGTGTGATCAGGTCCAAGATGCTTTCCAATCATGGGCAAACTGTGTGACCCTTAAATCAACCTACCTCTCCGGCCTCCGCTCCCCTCATCACCTACTTGAACCCCATAGATGTGATTAGATGGAGTGCATCATTTGCCAAATTATGAGTCCACTATTATTAATTAAGACTCGCCTCAATTTATAAAATGCCCAATGAATTCCATGTTCCAAAAGGGGTTATGGTCTTATAGAATGCACATGCCCCTGCTCAAGCCATTTGGTAGATTTGCGTCATCAAACCCATTCTCATGTAGCTTCAACTCCTATTTCCCCCTCCCAGAATTGTAGTGCATGTATTGAAAAAGCAAAAAGGCTATTGAAATTTCAAAAGCACTTTGAATATTTGAATTTCATTTAGAAATGAGTGTACCGTGGGTTCTATTATGTTGATCACAAATTCACAATTTACATGGTTTTGAGTTTTCTTCGATTCTGAATATCATTTGTTTTCCTTTTTTAAAAGGAAAATAACTTAGTTAAATTAATTTTTCAAATTAAATATTTATTTGTAATAATCATAGAGCTTTGTTGAGGAACATTATTTTCCATTCTCCAAAGAATTTTCATTTTCTTTGAGATTATGTTAGCTTGGTTGTAAACTTGTGCTGATATATATGTTAAAATTCTTCAAACCAAAATTCATAGGAAAGATATAAAACAAAAGAAGGACAACAAATAATTCCTAGTGGAGATCATAACATCAATGCTAGCTAATGCTAAAAATCAAACAAATGGTCCAAGAAAACAATCGAATTGAAATGGAACAAGGTTACATAGCAAGATAAAAGAATGATGCAAGAAGCATGGCAAGGAGGAGAGAAAATGGAGTTGAAAGGCCGTGAGCTCCAGCATGAGGAAGAGGGGATGGGCTCGGAGTAGTGCCTGGGACGATCTCAGGAGTTGCTGGTTCTGGTACAAGAGGTTCTTTATTGGGTGGTGAGGTTGCTGCAGAAACAACAAAAGGAAAATTAAAAAAAAAAAGGAGGGAAATCTGTTAGGACAGATTATACTGCAATTTGAATACATATATTAATAAAAAGATTTGATTGCTAAGGAACTGGAAAGTAAAAAAATGCAACAGAATGTATTAAAACATTAATTAATCCATAAAAGCATAAGTATTGTAAAGTCAAACAAAAACGTTACAATTCCATCTGACCTGTTAATATATAATTAAAAAAACACAACACATACCGGGAACTGGAATAGGAGGAGCCGCGGAAGGAGCCGCGGAAGGAGCCGTAGAAGGAGACAAAGAGACTGCATGTGTTTTCCCAAATGCATATCAATCAAATAAGCACAAACTAAAAATAAGACTGAAACAAAAACTCTAATGGCTGTATCCTTAAAATTATTTGAAAAAGGATTAATTTTCAGATGAGTAAAATTGGAGCAGCACACCGACAAAAAAAGTTTAAAATTGGAAAAAAAAAAAAAAAAAAACAAACAAACTTTGAGATAAAGACTTACTGCCACATGTGCTAATTGGAGGAGCAGATACACCACAATCAGAAGGCAAAGAAGCGGCTCTCGTGAGATTCAACTCAATCCCCATACCACGACTGCTCTTAATGGCCTCACATATGCATTGCTCAGCAACTTTCATCATGGATTTGAACCCGGAACAGCACGACTTCTCTGGCTTCGTGTCATTGCTGCCATAACTCAAATACCCAATGCAGTCCACCAAATCATACATGGCGGAGGAACAATCCACAGATGGCCCCGGTGCCAAATTTGGCGATCTCACAGGCGCCGGCAATGATGATTCCTGAGGGTCATGGTGGCGGGGGCGTGCGGACGTTGCCAGTGCGGCAAGGCATGTTAGAATGTAAACAACAAAGGAAATCCTTGGCATGGTGTGTTTTGCTTGAGTCACAAGAAAGTGTTTTGGGTTATAGGGTTGTGAGTGGGGTGATATGGTGTTTGTATTGTTTCTTATTTATAGTGAAATGGAAATTGATTTTTTATTTTATTTTTATTTTTTTGGTTTTGATCTGGGATTTCCTGGAATTTCTCTTTGGAAGTCAAATAGATCCTGTTAAAGAGGAGGTTTTGTTAAATTGTTAGTTAGCATCATCACTTTTGAGAAAATCTCTGGAAATGTTGAGAATAACACGAATTCTCAATGTGTTCAACCCTCACGTTTGGATAAACTAAGAATCACGATGTTGACTGGGTCGTTGGTCAATTAGATTGGGCTCAGTTGAGAAAATCCATAAACTTACTTTTGCGGCCTCCAAAGTTTGGTTTTGGTTGGGAGATTGGAGATTGTGATTCGAAAGAGTAGAACCATTGGGCCGACCCAACATATAGGCCTTTGCAAATAACATATTATTATTATTATTA